ACGTGGCTTGTGGACGGCTTGGCCCGGCTTGGCCACGTGGAGGATCGTCACGCTGGCGACCCCCCGTGGGGCCTGCGGGGCCTGCGGCTGCTGAAGGAGGCAGCGGAGCTCGGCTTGGAGGACAGCCCAGCAGCTAGGCCGCGAGTCGAGAGCGGAGCAGTGTGAAGCAGTGTGGAGCAAGGGGAGGAAGGTGAGTCTGACTGGAGTGGTGTGAAGAATGGGAGATGAGAGTCTCCTCTGGCTTCCCTGATGAGGGAGCCGCAGTCCGCTCCCCCCCCCCTTCCCCTTGCGGCATTCACACGGACGGCGTGGCGGATGGCTTTTGGTTTTCATCTCGTCGTCGTCGTGGCGAAAGGAGTAACCAGTCGGCCCGGTCGGACTGTGGCTGGGACTGCGGGCTCTCCTCGCTCTGTTTCTCTCCCACTTGAGGGGCGTATTGCGTCGGGGTGCGAGAGAGACCAAGCGACGGAACGCTAGTGTTTGGAATCAGCGGCCGCGACTGGCTCGGACACACCGAGGGCCGGGGTTGCCAGGAGCCGGCCCAGGGCCTCGGGCACGCCGGGCTTATGTTCGGCCATTGTGGGATTAAAATGACCATCCACTTGGCCCGAGTCTTAGCCGCGCTTCGGCCCTTCGGGCTTGAAAGGCAGGGAGGGGGCTCTGTGCGCCGCGCCGAGAGAGCGCCCCCTTCAAAGCGACGACAGGACACCGAGGAAACGGCCGGGGAAACGGCTAGGCGCGCAGGCCGGCGGAGAAGCGGGGCGGATCGCGCAAGTTCCCTGAATGAGGAAAGAAGATTCAAAGGACAGTTGTAAATCTCCGTGGAGTAGTACCCGTGTAGATTTTAATCTTGATCATCAAGAGAATTACTTTAAGGTGAAAAGACGAGCACATGAGAAATAAATGGAACCGATACACTGCGCGCCCGAAGACGCGTCCGGGATTCTGTCCGTCTCCTCCGGTCCTCTGGCCCACTGTAAGATAACCTAGATACGCATGTACGGCCAGACACGACGCCAGACACGACGAGAGTGGCGGCGCTCTGCTATGACCACCTCGAAACATGACGGCCGAATTAGAAATGAAACATTCATCGGACAGGCGGGGCAGGCGGGGCAGGCACCAGACAAAAGGCTGGCTTGTGGGTGGCGCCGCTGCTTTCGAGCGCCGCAGAGTACCCCGGCCTGGTCTCCTGTTGCGCCGCGCTGCCGCGCTGCCGCGCTGCCGCGTACCCGCACTGGGCCAGGGCCCGGCCGCCCGCCCGAGCCGCCAGCCAGCCCGCGACCCCGGCGACCCACAAGCCCCTATCTGCGCACAGCGAGGCGCACGGCCCCCTCGCCCCCACTGCGATTATGAAACTCTTTTGTCCGCCTCCACCGACGAGGCCTGCTTCTGCTTGAGCGGGGGTGCGCGGCGAGGGGCGGTCGCAGGAGACTAGCGAGCCGAGTGATCCGGAAAGCCTTGGGCAAGCCTCGGCGAAGCCGCGGGACAAACAGGACGCCCTGCACGGCCTGCATGCGCACCAGTTCAACACCGCGCGGGGAAGGGGCATTGCAGGACTGACTAGGGTAAGGTTACCAAACATGGATCACTTTTTAAATAATCTTCTCTAGATCGAAATTAAGTATGGGTTGACTACTATTTTTGAATCTAATATAGATGTTTACCTTACTGGTCATATTGCTACCAAAAATGGTACCTCTAACTCGAATACTTTGGAAGTTGTGAGGACAAGAAAATATGGCTATTTTTGCTAAGGTTAGGTTAGGGTGGTCCAATCATGGATCACCCCACCAGCGTACGGACACAAAGCAAGGTATGCATTCAGTAGTCCCAGAATATCAAACTAGTCTGTCCAAAGTGCACGATGAAAAATTTTGAAGTGACTGCGGTGATTGCTTGGCCCAGAATCAGGGGTGCAAAAATCACCTTTTTGAACGTCATTTTTCCATCGATTTTCGGGGGCCTGTTTTAGGTGTCTTTCTAAACGCAACCCTGCAGAGTAGAGAGACGCAGTTACAAACTTGTCAGCTTCACATCGAACAGTCAAAGGGTCAGTCTAAGCAAGGAAAGACAGAAATTTAGAATCTGGTCACCTGGTCTTTAGTTATAGACCCCCAAACAGAAATGATCCATGTTTGGTACCCCGATCCATGTTCGGCACTTTACCCTAGTCCCCCCACCCTTCGCTGCCGCGTTCCGCGGGCCTGCTGCGCTGTGTGTGTGTGTGTGAGTGTGTGTGTGTGTGTGTGTGTGTGTGTGTGTGTGTGTGTGGTTCCCTCTTCATTTCAGCGTGGAGCGCGCCATGGAGCCGAGCCGGCCCCCGTTCCGCTAACCGAAACAGGGAACACACTCGCAGGCACGCACTGGGGCAGCGTTACACACACACACACACATGGATACACGTGTACGCTGCGTGCGCACACACTTGTACACACACGTCGGTACACACTCACACACAGGCGCGGGGCAGCCATTAAATGAAAAGCAAATCAAGCCTGCGGCTGATGCCGTCCGCAGCCGTTCAGGGGCGGCGGAACGCGGAATTCGCGAAACACGCCGTGAATTCGACGCGCCGAATGAGCAGCCAGCATGCCTCTGTGTGTTTGTGTGTGTGTGTGTGTGTGTGTGAGGAGGGGGAGGGGTTAAGGCCGCTGCGCGTGCTTGCATGTAGGAATGGCTGCGTGCGTGTAGTGTGGTGGACACAACTATGCAGGGCGCTGGGCGAGTGGAAGGATGCAGCGCCACTATCCCAGTGCAGCGCACAGTGGGCCAGAAGACCGGTGGTGGCGGCCAAAAGTCTAGACACGTTTTGAGCCACAGAGTCGCTGAATGGGACGCGAACCGAACGTGTGACCCCACCAATGGATTGCTCTCCGAACGAGGAATCCATTGGTGGGGTCACACGTTCGGTTCGAGTCCTGTTTAGACCGAGGCCGGGTGAGGCCGCGTCCAGCCAACAACATCCGTCAGGGCGATGGCGGGTTCGAGGCCCAGTCCGAGGCGCTGGCCCAGTCCGCGCTTGCTGCCCGGTGCGATACTTTTGCCCGCCGCCGTGCGCAAACTGAGCAAACCTCCCACCCCACTTCACCTTCAGCCTTCGGCCAGCCGCAGGAGGGCGCCCCGCCGCGACCGCCCCCCTCCGCTCCGTACCCAGATGAAAAATTCCTCGACGGGCTGCCGCTAGCTGGCTGGCTGGCGGCCCCACCAGTCTTACCTTGTATTTTTCCTTCTTTTCTCCTTTTTTTCCCCCGGCTGCGTGGCGCGCAATTTGAATAATGCACTCCACCGGGGCTGCCAAAATACGGACGCAAAATTTCCCTCGGCGAACGGCAATTTACGACGCGCTGGGAAGAAAGTGTTTGACTCGCACCGCGTAACGCGTGGGAGGGGAACCTCGGCGCATACCCGCCGCCGGAACTCGACCCGCAATTATTATTTTTTCCTGTGGCGAGTTTATTTTGTTTGTATTTGTTGGGTGTGTGTGTTGTGCGGGCTTCCGAGCGGATCGCGTGGAAGGCGGTCCAGTTTAGGAACCAGGGCAGAAGGGCGGCGATGGGGAGGGGGAGGGGGAGAGCCAGGTTCCGGCCCACTGTGTTCCTCTCTGCACTTGAGATTGATGTGCGAGGGAGCGAACACACTCACACCCACGCATACACACGGACAGGCACAGGATGAAAAGTGAAGGTGGGGCCAGGTCAGCGAGCAACCCGTCCCTGCAGCATAAAAAACACCTTCACACCGACACAGACATGCGCGCGCACACCCTAACACCCTGCACCAAGTAAGTAGTCCGCGACTCTGCAAGCCCTGCGAGCCCCGCGCGGCCCAGCAACAGGTCTGCCCTTCGTCACCAGCAGCGCGCACTGCCTGGGCACTGCCTGGGCACGGTGCCAAGACGGGCCGACGGCCATGCGGGCCCGGGTTCGACTCCCGGCAGTGGCGGTGCGGCGGTCCGATGCGCCGCTTTTCAAAAGGGCGCCCGTAAGTGCGCGGCCCCCACGACAAGGCCGTCCCCTTCCCCCTCCACTTCGGCCGCGCCACTTAGCCTAACGCAGTTTGCACCGAGGCCCGTCCGAGCGGAGGGACGGCGGGACGACGCCCCAGGGCCCCGGGGGCAGCGCAGGCAATGGCCGCCAAATCTCTTTTCAGATGATTCAGGCTGGCGCCGCGAGCGTTTTAGCGCTACGTCTGTTTCCGGGGACGCTGCGCCCGGAAACGGCGCAAAACACATTTGCCGGAGTGCCTTGCTTGCGGGTCCCCCGGAAGCAGACGACTCGCGTCGCGCGTTGGGGGAGGGGGGAGGGGGGGGGATTCGCAAGTCCGGAACAACAGCAGTGCCGCCAACGCGAATCTAGATTCGCCGCTCGGAAAATAATTACGCCGACGCGGTCCACTGGGGCACGGCGACGATTAAACGCCCTGAACGGCCGACCGTCATCGCGTTAATCTCGGTGGATTTCGTTCGGCGACTCACCTTGCCGATGCGAGGGCTGCGAGGTGGATGTCCGGCGGCGCGGCGAGCAGCACGCTGGAGTCGACGGGCAGGTGGAGTCTGCTGGCGACCCGCCAGGACGACGACGACGGCGGCGGCGAAGTTCGGGAACAACGCCGCGTTGCAAGAATGATCCCCCCGGCGTGGCATCCCTTGTTATTAACCCGCTTTGGTAAACACCGGGGCAAGTTGACAGCGGCGGCCCGGTAAGTGTCTGGCCCGACAAACTTATTATACCCCGAGCAGAGCCCTCTCTCTCGCACCCCCTCGCGCGCCGCGCACTCCAGACGCAACAAATGAAACGGGCAATTAAGGCCACGAGGAACCCCTTTGAGCGACTCCCTCGCTCTTTTCGTGGCCACTCCTTTGGCTACCCCCCCCTCTCCCCCTTTTCCGTTCCTCGACCAGCAAACTTTGCCGCGGGCGCTGGCAACTCCCCCCGCGCGACCACGGCGCCGCGACGCGCCGCGACGCCACGACGCCACCACGGCAGCGAAAAGGATATGGGTTGGTGATCATGGCCAGGCACCAGGACCGGGGCCGCGTCCGCTGGTCCATGTACTTGAGGGCGATGGGGAGGAAGCCGGGGTACGGCAGGGCGTCGCCGCCGAGGACGCCGGCGCCGTCGCTGAGGCCATCGTTGGCCCCGTCGTCGTCGTCGTCATCGTCGTCTTCATCCTCGTCCTCGTCCTCCTCCTCCTCCAGGTCTTCATCGTCCTCCTCGGCATCGTCTTCGAAGTCGGACAGCGCGGCGAAGTCGGCCTCCGAGCAGCCCTCGTGCAGGGCGGCCGGGGGCGGCGCGGGTTCTAGCGGCCGGGGGCAGTCCTGCGAGCCCCCCGCCGCCGTGGTGGGCCCCGCGGGGGGCGGCCCGGGGGGCGGCGCGGCCGGCGAGGGCGACGACGCCATCGGCCCATGGACCCCCATTGGGCCCCCTGTCGGCCCGAGGGGCCCTGAGGGGCTTAGGTGCCCCTCGGCATGGCATGGGGGTGGGGCCCACTCCGGCACACCATCGTCCTGCAACAAGAGAAACGCAGCGGCCAATCAGAGGCGGCGACAAGAATAGTGGCCAATCAGCGGCCGGCATGCCATGGGCAATGCCACGGGCAATGCCATCGGCAGACCGGCAGACACAGAAAGGAGCCAATCAGAGTGGCGCCAGGTCCGCGGTCGGTGACGTGTCCGGTGCCCCAGTTATTCCTTGTGGATCCATCGGTGGCTCAATTTTCTTCCCCCATTCACTATTTTTGGTGGGAGTTGTTTTTGCGTCAATATAAAAATGTCCCCCCCCCCTTCACCTCTCCCTGCCCCCAGTGACACGCTAGGTACCCTCCGGCCCGGTGGACTAAAGTGCGGCGCAAATGGAACCTGAGTGGTGCTACCAATCGAACGCGAGACAATTGCCGTATGCACGGACGACACCAGTGTACATGCCGACAGTGCACCAGCCCGCCCACGACGATGTACTGCTCGGGATGGGCGTGCTGGCGCCGTGGGCCGCGCGGACCTACGTGGACGCCTTGTAAGCCCGCGATGATCTTTCAGCCCCGGTGCTCCGGCTTCTCCCCCCCCTCTCTCTCTCTCTCTCTCTCCCACTACACTACACCCCCGCCTCGGAGGGCTTTGCTTTGTGCGGTGCGCGGGCCCGGCGGGCAGGAGAGCAGCCAAGCAGCTGGAGGAACGGATCGGCGAGGGGGAGGGGAGGGGTGGGGGGATTACACAGAGTCTTTCTTTAAGGAATCACGAATAATCCCGCGCGCAGGAAAGCAAGGAATAGAGAGGGCCGCCTCAACTCGGCCAGGCAGCAGCAGCAACAGCAGCCGGGAGGAAGCACAGTGGGCCAGAAGACCGGCGGAGGCAGTAAAAATTCAAGACGCGTTTCGAGCTGCAGAGTCGCTAAATGCGGGTCGAACCAAACGTGTGACTCCACCAATAGATTGGGCGAATCCTTCCTCACCCCAAAGTCTTGATCAGGACTTTTTCATTCTCAGTGTACCAGGATGAATAAATTTTTCAATTTGATTATTATCATTTTTGGCGTAGCTCGAGTAACACTTGGCTACGAGGAGTAAAAACGACACAAAGTTGAAGTTTCGCTCAAGTTGGCACTTGATGGTGGCCTGTCCAGCGAGGCCGCGCGCGCTTGCAGTGCTCTGGCATGAGTATGGCATGCTCGCCGACGCTCGCCGCAGCACGGCACGGGACGCGGCACGCAACACCACACCGCGTCGCTCTGTCTCCCTCCCACTCACGGCGTGCCCCATAGGGGTGCATAGGGGTGCGAGAGAGACAGAACGACGAGGCGCTGTTGAGTCCACTGCACGACGCTGGACACCGCCGACAACGCCGATCCCGAAACACGGCAGCGGCCTTGCGGTGCACGCGACACTGCCCGCGATGCACACAGCGGACCTCTCCGAGGGCCGTGTCCGCCGCTCTGTCTCTCTCGCACTCATGGTCCGTCCCGCGTGGGCGCGAGAGAGACAGAGCCGCGAAAACGACTCTCGGAATCAGCTTGCATGGGAAACGGACCGAAATAGACCGGGCTATCTCGCTCATCTTTCCGAGGAACGTGGAAAAAGGGAGCTCGATAATGCATGCGTGCGTGCGCGTGTTTTCGGAAGGTCTGTTTGGCGAGGCAAAAACAAGCAGTGCGGTGGGGCGGCGGGGCGGGGTGGGGCGTGCTGCCCGTGGCGCGACCGCAAAGTGGCAGTGGCAGTGTAGGCACTGTATGTCCTCGAGAGCAGTGCGATGCAACTGACTGCTCGGTGGACGACGGACGCCTGTCACCCGGAGCGTAGGCAACACCAGCGCATGGCAGCGTGGCGGGCCTGCCGCGGTGAACCTCGCAGGCGGCCTGCCCGGAGAGAGAGCGAGAGGGAGAGAGAGGGGGGGGTGAGACAGAGAGGCAGAGAGCACAGTGTGCCAATCGGGCGGCGCCGCGATGATACGACAGACAGAGGCCCGATGAGTTGTGGACAGGTCGCCCTGTTGCCGTGCAGCTGCCGGGCTGCTGCCACACTGCAGGAGATTGGCCACGGTCTAATGAGCAGGAACTGGGCGCCCCGGCCGTCCCGGAGCGATGGGCTGCGGGCTCCCCTCCGACCAGACACCAGACGCCGGGCAACGCGCCGGGCAACGCGGGCAATCCGAAACCGCAGCGATACTCCCCGCCTCTAATAGCTCCCCCTCCCCCGGCGCGGTGAGGCGGCAGATAGCCCGGCGGAGGTTCGCGGTGCAAATTGATTGGTGCGTTGCTGGCGCTCGTTGGCGCGGCGGGCCGTGGGGCTGGGCGCCGTAACGTCAGGTTAGCGCTGATAATTAGACGGCTGTTTACCATCCACGTCCTGTTATAGCCCCGCAGTGGGCCGAGACCCGTGCCGCTGGACAGGACCGCGTCTTCCGGCGCCACGCGCACAGTGGGCCAGAAGACCAGCGACACGTTTTGAGCTCCAGAGTCGCTACGCGGAACTCGAACAGAGCGTGTGACCCCACCAATGGATTCCTCGTTCGGAGAGCAATCCATTGGTGGGGTCACACGCTTTGTTCGAGTTCCATTCAGCGACTCTGGAGCTCAAAACGCGTGTAGACTTCCGGCCGCCTGCGCCGGTCTTCTGGCCCACTGCGACACGGTCCGAGCTTGCACTCAATCCGCGCATCGGACTGGAATGGACCGCGTGGCAGTACCGCCAGAGGATTGTCTATCAAACGAGGAATCCGACGGTACGGTACGTACCCTCCCCCGTGAATGCTGGAGCTCAAACCGAGTCCAGAGCGGTGCAGAGTGGGCTCTGCTTCGGCTTCGCTTCGGCTGGTCGCTTTTCACATCGCAAAGCCCTTTCCGGCTCTGCGCACCACCCCCGCCCCGCCTCACCGCGCCACGCTCGGCCGGTCCCGAGCGTACTCCGTACACGTCGGTATACGTATACGCAGCCATCAATAATTCGCTGTCGGTTCGTCATCAGACGGGAGGGTCGGCCGGGACATCATCACCGAAGCGCGAGCGGTCTTGTGTATTTTGCGGAAGGCCTGGGGCGTCTGGCCGCCCTTCCCCCTCCCCCTCCTCCGTCACCAGACCCCCTCCTGTCCCTTTTCGCGCTCGCCATGCATAATTCAGGTCTATGATCGCCGCGTATCGCGTAAACACCGCTGGCCGGCAGCCTGGCTGTGCCGCCTGCGCCGCCTGCGCCTGAGACGCCGCCAAAAAGGACTACCTTCCGGTCGCGGCGCGGTGCGGCTGCGCGCCTCCGCACCTTTTATTTTATTATTTTTAATATTTTTTTTCTGCGCACCGCGCGCACCGCTGCTGCTGCTACTTGTTTGCCCTGCGCCGCTTATTTATTTTGTCCTTTCCGGTGTTTTTGTTTTGCGGCCCGGATGAACGCATTTGCAGTGTGCCGCGGCGCGGCGAGCTCGACCCGTGTCCGGCTTCGTGCTTTGGCGATGAAAGTGGCCGAGTCCGCCTTGGAGGGCCTTGGCCTTGCCCTGCCCGACTTAGCGCTGGCTTCCCATTTCCATCGGGCCGCAGAGTTACGTCGACTTTGCGGCCAGCTTTACCGCGCGGACCGCGGCCCGGAGGTTCGGGGTTCGAATCCAATCATTCCTCTTTCATGTCCCGTTTTCTTTTCTTTGCCCCCCTCGCAGTTTTGCAAGTTGTTGCTCGGATTTGTTACGCACCTCAGGAAAACTCTTCCCCCTCGTCCTCTCCTCCGAAAAAAACAAATTAAAAATAATGAATTAAATTGAGCGTCGTGTCAGAGAGACGCGCGGCCGCGGCACGCGAGCAGAAGTTGGAGTCGAAGTTGTTGGGACGAGCCAGCGCCAAGTTGGAGCCTGCGCTGCCTCCTTTAACGTAATGTGGGCAAAAAAGGCGCCGACACAGACGGACGGATGGACGGACAGACAGACAGACAGACAGACAGACAGACGGACGGACAGACAGGACGATGTCCGTGGTCTTCCCGCTGCGTAATGCCGCATTAACGCAACGGCATAGGTAGGCCGAGCACGCCGACCTCGAAGCGACTACGCTGTGGGGAAAAAAAACAACAACAAAGGAAACAAACAAACGCGACGTGGCTTCGGGGCCGCTGTTACATAATATATGAACATGAAAAAAAGAAAGGGCGGCTAACTGCGGAACAAATAGAAGTACCAGAGGGGAGGGAGAGAGGGGAGGAGAGGGGGAAAGGGGGGAAGGAAAGAGGGGAAATCACTGTAGCAGGGCGAGCCAGGCGAGCCCAGGCATCGCATCCCCTGCTCCAGGACAAGAGGGGCGAGTAGTGAAAAGGGATAGAGCACCACGCTCTGCAAGGAGAAGCTCAGCGGGGCCGCATATTATTCCGGGCTCAATTTCGCGGAGAGGGGACGCCGGTTGTGTGTGTGTGTGTGTGTTAGCTTGTGTGTGTGTGTGTGTGTGTGTGTGTTAGCTAGTGTGTGTTAGCTAGTGTGTGTGTGTGTGGCGCACGAAACAGCGCAGCTTTTCATTCCAGCTAAAAGTTTAAAGCGCGAGTGCACCTGCCGCCCGGGCAGCTGCGGCCGCAGGGGGCTGCTGGGCGGTGCGGTGCGGTGCGGTCGGCCCCCAAGGAAAAGAGGGGAGGGGGAGGAGGGGGAGAGTCCAGCACACCGCGACACTACTATAACGCGCTCGCCACGGAACGGCTAGGCGGGTACACCGTCCGAGCGTGTGCGTGTGCCTCCGTGTCTGTGTGGTGTGTGTGCACACGAGAGAGAGAGAGAGAGAGAGAGAGAGAGAGAGAGAGAGAGAGAGAGAGAGAGAGAGAGAAAGAGAAAGAGACTTTTTTTTT